TGCTTTTTCAGCATTGCAATTCTTTTTTTTACACAGTACAGTAATACAATCTTTCACAGACATGTTTAAACACAATAAATATAAGCAACACATTATTCAATGCTTTTTACTTTTGCATTTACTTCTAGATTTATATATTAAGCTGCTCAAGCAAGTGGCAACACATTTAAACTACTTTTCTTACGTTATCACAAACTTACCATTGATAGAAATAGACAGCTCTACTGCCTTTCCTTTTGCATTTAAATCTTTATTACAAGCAATCATGCGGTTTATAAAGAACTTTGTTTTCCTACCTCCATGAGTGCCATCTATTATTGCCTTATTTATCTAAAAGTGCTCTTTCTCTTTAAACTTAGCTAAAAAGCCATATATGTTGACTGTGAAACACAGTAGACTTTAATAATATGCATTTATGGTGTAATTACTACATTTTCGTGTCAATCCATGTTTATATTTACTCCAAACAATGCGCTTGCTTTAATTCAGCGCTTGCAGCACAGCAATAGACTCGGTGTGGAAACGATCTCTGCACTGCTGCAGACGCAACGCTACTGGAACGCACTGACGGACAGCAACCGTGTGCAGTGTGCATGCTTTATTAATCCGTTTACATGAGTGCTGAAAAAATACGCACCAGGTATGCACTGCAAACTGCATTATATGTGTGCGTTGCGAGTGTGCATGAGCGCCGAATGGTTAAACACTGGCAAGAATTAAAAAGTAATGCAATTTATAGATGTTAGTGATGATGTGATACTGCCTCGATTGTGCAAGTGACAATTCCTGTGTCAACTGTGCAGCTCGCTTATAGACAGACGCGATGTGTGAAGCCATTTGTGTATTTTGAGAGAGAGCACGGGCGCATGGTGATTCACTCACGCTGTTTGTGAAATTACTCTCACACAAGTTTTTCAAATTACTTTATAAGTTATTTAACGAAGAGTACCTCACCTTCAGCATTATAATTATTTCATCCGGGCCTGACAGAGACTGACTTGTGCAGCTGCATGTCATGCCAAACCTCTCACGGGATTATCGTGATTATCGGCCGATAGTGATCGGTAGCCGATCAATCGGAGCACCCCTAGCGGGAACACAGTACTGTCAGGCCCATTATGAATGTAATTTGGGCTCAGTCAGTGTTTTCAGTCGTGTTTAAAGTCGTGTAGTGTGCTGTGTCTAAAGAATATAAGACCAGATGTTGCCAGTCCTCTTCACAAAGATTATTTTTATAAATCTAGTGACTGATGCCTGCGACTAACTGTCCCTGTTTCAGAATATGTAGGTCTATTCATTTAGATAACGAATTAACAAATAAAAATCACAAACATGACATTTCTGAATAAAATAATTATATACACTTTAGTTATATGTAATATAGCCTATTTGAGGAAATATGATGAGGAAATACAGTGCCTTGAATAGGCTACACTTATGTAGAATGATGTAATGAAAATGAAAAATATACAAATAACATTTTAAAAGACTATTGTTTCGGAAAAAATAAAACCGTATTTAATTTTCGTTCTAACTGATACTCAGGTTTTGTTTGTGGACAGGTTGTAGCTACTGTAATCTGCAGCAGTATTTAGGAATTGGGGCTGTTGTGAATGATTTTAGGTTATGTTGACAATGGGCACATTCGTGACAGTGATGGAGACGTGGTAGTTTTATTATGCATGTCTTCCACGGCGTGTTTTTACGTTCTACGAAATTTCCTGAATACTGAGTCCTGACTCACTTTTGCCCAGGCCCCCCCCCCCCCCCCCCCCCCCCCCCCCAAAAAATTTATTCTACACCACGGGGAAAAGCAAATGTTAGTAGAAACAAAAGTAACACCCACCTCCCTACTGCATCTGCAGGCAACAATAGGAGCAATTACACTCTGTCACTACAGCAGATACAACAGGCTTTCTTAAAGAAGCATTATAGCTCAGAGCACACAACATTCAACAAAGTCTGGGAAAACTGACAGGACATGCGCTCTCTGGGGAACAACCAGTTCCCTCTGTTCAAATGCATGATACTCTCCACAACTCTGATGAAGGACAGGTGGCATCAATTAGGCTCCTGTGAGAGGACAGGGAGAATCAGAGGAAAACAGGCAAAAACTACACTTCACAGCAGGCTGTTGGGCATCAGGGAAACACAATCTCACACACACAGATTCACAAAATGAATAACAATAAATTACATACGTCCTGGGGCATTATTTAAGGAATACTTCACCCAAAAATGAGAATTCTGTTATTATTTACTCACCCTCATGTTGTTCCAAGCCTGTACAAATTTCTTTATTCTGTTGAACAAAAAGATATTTTGAAGAATGTGGGTAGCCAAATAGTTTCTGGTAACCATTGACTTCCATAGTATTTTTCTTTCCGTACTATGAAAGTCAATATGGACCAGCAATTTTTTTTTAACTCATATTCTTCAAAATATTATCTTTTCTGTTCAACAGAAGAAAGGTGACATTTTTCAGTTTTGGGAAAACGATCCATTTAATAATGTATTAAAAGTTCAAGTAGAGAAGATGTGAGAAGTTGTACTGCAGTTATCAACAATATTAATAGCTATTCTGATGCATTTTTAAATGGCAAGTTTTCAAAGCATATAACAAGTTTGCATGTACTCTATACATCAGGCATGGGCAGATGCCTTCAGAAGTAGTCCAGATTTGACTGGAGTAGTCCACGTCTATGAAGAAATGAAGAGGAAGGGTATAGAGTTTCCTCAATCTGACTTGGAGACCTTGTCTCCCATTCACACACCACAACGGGTAGGTGTTGATGTTAGCCATTTTATGGTTTGTTTATCACAGAGGTTATGACAGCTCCTACTAAAATATTATGCCCCTTATCATTTACTTAACTTTATCACTTTACATTCCCTCTTTATCTGCAATTTCGTTCATTGTCTTTAATAGCTGCAAAGTGCACCAGAGATGGACCAGCAGAAATATAACGCCCCAGTCCAGCCCAAGCCACAGCCTCACCCTGCCTCCGCTCCTCCATTTTCTGCCCCGGTGACTCACACTTCCCCACAGATGCCCAATCTGCCAATGTCTGGACCCATCAACCCTTCCCCTGAACAGGTACT